GAAGCTGTCTGCAAGCAAGCAAACAATCTCGAAAATTACATGAAATCTTAAGTAGTGAGAAGTTGACTGTCAACAGTCCAGTCAAAGTGGTACAGATTCTCATTACTTTGATTAGCATGAATCCAGCTCAACTCATATGAGTTCATTTGGCTACTCTGGATTTACACCAATGTTTCCAAATGAAGAGTAGGAAAAATAACAGTATAAGCTGCCAAAGTCTGGAATAAAAGCAAGCAAAGTAGGGGTTGGCGGAAGATAAATTGGGATACCTTATTTGGAAAAGAAACAAACGGCATAGCTTTTAACTAGGTGCTAGAGTATAAAAGCACTGGGAACTAGGGTGGTTGTTTGTTTTGTGAAGCAGGTTAAGTATCTCAACTTCCCAATGTTTCCTAGTAAGCTACTGCATCCTCTGTTTTTAATATTTTAACAAAGCAACACATCTAAAGAACAACATAGCTGTTTGTAGAAGAGCCCTGACAGAGGCTACTGTTAAACATGGGATAAATTATAACATGCTACACCTTCCCTGGCCACTGTTGGGGCCTCCTGGTGGGCTGTTGGGATAGCAGTCTTCCTATTTAAGTGGCAGCAGCATGGAGGCCAGCCAACAGTTCTGCCCAGAAGTCATCTATAGTAAGCCTGTCTGGATCTTGTGTGCTTTGGTTTCCTGGTTTCTGGCTCTGCTTGCTTGGCTTCTGGACTCTGGCTTTTGGGAACTCCACTTGGCTTTGCTAACTTGGTTCCTGACTCGAGAACACTGACTTGGCCTTCGCGTCTGGTATTCCCTCTGAAGACCTGGTGACTCCGACTAGTTCCTGCCCTTTGGGTTCCTCTGCTCCTGTTTCTAGCCTTTCCACTAAGGCAGGCCACCTATGACCCAGCCTTCACAGCAGTGCCCTGAACACCAAGTAACTGGGGTGTTCTTTTTCACTCTCTCCTACTACTAAAGTGGTTTCATTTTGTGTGAGTTTTTTAAATATTTGTTGAGAGAGAAACTAACTCTATGGTCTGGTGGGCAGGGGACATAGCTGCAGTGTGAGAGACTCCATGTTCAGGTCCCTGCTTGTGGGTGCTGGCTGAGCTCTTGCACACACTAGTTTTGCCCAGAGTTCCATACTGGACCTGAAAAAACTTTGCATTGAAACCAGTATGTTTTGGTGAATCAGCACATTTAGATTTGGAAAAATGTTCAGTTTGACTGATTCAGCTCCTTTCCTAATAGCCACTGGGCTTCAGACATGATTCTTAAGGTGCTATTAACTTATGAGAGAAAGTCTTTCATGGTAAGCCTTGGAGATATCTATGCAGTTGGCACACTCAGGCATGTAGAGAAGGCATTTTCTTTTTTCTTTTATTTTGGGCTTAGCTAGAACAATGAATAAAAAACTGTATATGAACTTATAACTGACCTTCAAAATGTTGTTTTGAAACACTTTCTCTAGGTACCTGAATACTAGTCTGTGTAGATGCATTTCTACTTCATTTCTGGAGTAACTTTAAGGTATGACAGTGAAGTATGGTGCAGCTATATCTAAGCTAGCTTTAAACTTCCTGCCTTGGGTGCTGGCAGCAGTCCCTCTAACATGAGCAAATACTCACTGGATAGCCCGGCTTATTGGATAGATTTTGTAGCCTGCACTTAGTTCCATGCTGTTGCAGGTATCTACACTGCACTGCAACTATAATTACATAGATATGTCCTCCTTTTACTCGCACATTAACATTATCCCTGGTGAACATCACATAGGCTACTTACAGACGTTAAAAAAGAAAACTCAAAAAACCCCCAGTGCTTTACTTTAAATTTGGTGCATTCTTATGCCATGCCCAGCATATGCCCAGAAGAGGCATTTTTTTAGTTGGACCCAGCTTGCCCAACATCTATATAGATCAAACGCTGTAGTGGGGCTTTTTAGCACTTTTATTTAATAGCTGATTGAAGCGCCTAATCTATACACATGCTGCAGAGGTGGGTTGAACTAACACGCTGCTGCTTCCAGTAAAGCATGGGGTGGTTGGTTTTTGTTGTTGTTTTGTTGCTTTTTGTAACATCTGTAAGCAGCTTCAATTTCAAGTTCTTAGAATAGGGATCTAATGTATTTTGAGCTCGTAAAGCAGCTGGCTCAATTTGAAGTGTAATTTGAAGAATAAAATACCTTTGAGGACACAGTGCTTTCCCAGTGAGGAAAAATATTAGTTTTTCAACCTGTAACATTCTTTTAAGAAATGACATCTTGACAGGGTGTAACTTGTTCATTTTGTTTTAATTGACCTCCATTTCTATAAGAAATATTCGATCGGATTCATGTGGGTTCATTATCATTTATTTTAGAAAGCGATTAAAAACTGTCCCTGCCATTCTAGTAGGAAAAATACTCCACTGAGAATTTGCGAGTGTTGGCTTCTCTGTAAAAGCTTACCCCTTGTTCCCATTTCTCAATTCAGCAGAAGGTTATTTTGCGTAAAAATAATATGGAAGACATGGAAGCCTGGCCTATTGGGCTAGGGACAGACATTTAAAAAGCTGGAGCCTGAATTGATTCAACCTTTGCAGGTTAGTTTAACCTGCCTAGGCTGAACCAGTTTGTAACAGGACAAACATTCCCTCTGGACTGGGGCAATGCAGGCACATGACTGCAGTTGCTCAGGCCAGGAGCCTGGCAAGGGGGGTGGGGCTAGAGCATGCCCTTGGCTGCAGGGAAGCTGTACTGGGGGGTTGTGGCCAGTCCAGGCTGAACTGGCCAGAAAGGGTTTAATTCCTCCCTCTTTATCCCACCAGCCGGAACCCAAGCCAGGTCTGCCGGGTGCTCCCCCATCGCTGCTGCTGCAGCAGTGGGGCACTGTAAGTCTGATACCACCTTCAACCAGGTTTATCTCAAACTGGTTTCAGCCATTTTGAAACTGGTTTATGTGCACTGAATGTCTGTTCTGTAACAAGTTTAAACTAGTTTCTGATCACTTAAATTAGTTTGTGTGTAATGTCTGTCCCTAGCCTTGAAGTCTGTGGCTAAATAGCTGCAGTTGTCCTTGGTTGGTGCCAACCGTTTATCCAGACTCACCTTAACTTAATTCTTGAGAAAAGAGAAGTGCCACCCTCCTGCCTAAAAGTGGTCATAAAGAGATGCTAGTGAAATACAATGACTTTTTATATGATGACAAAAGCTAAAATTAGACCTCTTACAAAAGACTAGGCTGGGTATTCTTTGCATCCTTGCACTTGCCCTTCCTTGTAGGGATAAATATTTTGCCTACAATTATGTCAGAGCAGAAATTCTGTGGGCCCTGCTCAAAGTTCCCAGCTCAAAGCTCAAGCATTGGGATCTGCTCCCAAGCCTGCCAGCAAGCCATAGGGCAGCTATACACTTCCTCCATTTGGCTTCCATTAATCCTCTGTCACAACCCTCAACACCCCTATTGAAGCCTTTTAAAGCTCTGGATCCATGTGATTGCAGCCTGATTAGCTCCACGTCCTACTTTTCTACAATCACTAATAAAGTATTAGCGCAGTCCTTCTGTAGCATACAAGGGACATAAGTCCCCTTTCCCATACCTTCAAGCGCTACACTTCACAGAAGTGGCAGAATATTAAATGATTTTTCAGGACACTTTATCCATGGATCAAAGGAAAGTTTTAGCATATGTTACTGCTAAGATGCATCTCTGACACACCAAGATAGGTCATTGAGTAATAGCATTGCTGTCAATTTAAAGGACCGCCACTTGCTTATGGAGGGGATCAGTTTTAGTGGTATGGGAATGCAGGCTTGAGCTAAACAGAAATAAGATAGACTTGTTGGTCTGGACCCATTTTCCTGGGCATCAGTTATTCGTAGGTAACCTCTTTGCCTGCTGCAGTGCAGAGACTTCACATCCAATCTCTTCAGCTAATAAGCGGTCGTGTTTTTATGCAAGTAGTGGATATCATCTACTTACCACAGATGTTTTAAACTGCCTCTTGAAAGACTGCTTCTTATTACCCTGGAAGACTGAACTAGATGTAGTTTTCTATTGTCAAAGAAAAATCCCCAGATCAAAAGAAAAAAAATGCAAAAATTAGTACTTTGGGGACATAGCAGGTAATTCCCTATAATTATCACCATGGGAAAGACATGTGAGGCTCTGTATCTGAAAATGCTCAAGCTTGCTTGTTCTCTGTTGCCTGATTTATGTGCATCTGGAAATGCTTCCAGTACAAACCCTATTCTCAGGGTTTTTCTCTTTCTGCCAGCCTGAAGCATTAGCACATAAGAATACCAGCTTGGATTCTTCCTTTATTTAAAAATTAAATCAAACTCCATAAAAAATAAACCATACATCTTGGATTTTGAGTTAGGGAAGGAAAAGAAAACTCCTTATCTCTAAGATCATGGCAGATGATTAGCCATACCAAGTACTAGTCTTCAGACAGGCTTACAGTATCTAAACTATAGCTACAAATCATAGGGAAAAAAAATCTTAGGCTTGGTAAACATCCATTTATCCTGGGTGTTCTGCTGATGACTGGCACCATTGCAAACTTGAGAACCTTTCAGGTGCTACCTTGACAGAGATACCATTATGGCAGAGGTGCTTATAGCACACTTATGGAGTGTGTGGTTCTTTTTCTTCTCTCTCCATCAAGCAGTGCTTCCCATAGCCAAGAATTTAGGGTTTTTTTCAAAGGGATGGACACAGTGATAAGAGTGGCCTCAGTAGGAGTTCTGAGAATTGGCTTACGCTAAGTAATGAGGGCATCATTGATGCATCAGTCACATGGGTATAGCACTGGAAAGATTGGGTTAATGTACTATACGCTTGTTATTCAAAATACCATCCAAAGATCAGTATAGCATAATGGAGATTTTACCCACATCTTTAAGGTCTGCACTGTTTTGTACTGTTTCTATCTAATGGAACTCAGATGTGAAGAAGCCTGACTAATGAGAATAGAATTAGTTTATAAAAGGTTCAGAACTTACTCAAGCAGGACAATTAATACAAGCTATCTTTCTTGAATATCCATTTATTTATAAATGAACTAATTTTAGCCTCCTCATAGCCCTTTTGTATGAATTTTCTATGGAGTTTTATTGGCAGATGTACTTAGTTGCCTAAACTAATCCTACTCACATTTTTGATAATAAGAATTGGTAACAGGAAACAGAGAGCTCCAGAAGAAAAATGAAAAGGTGGGAGTAACACCTCTGCAGCACTTTGCAGTGGACCAGCTCTTGCACTGGGATGAGACAAGCTTGCAGGTATCCTTCATGTGCAGATAACACTCCAGGGAACAATTAGACAGTCTGTTCTCAAGGTATAGGCTTCTTGCATGTGACAGGCACTTCATTCTGTTTTCATCACAGATCTGACAAAAACTATCACAAGCTCCATCAAAGCCTCCAGTCCTTTCAAAGTAACTCCTACAAAGGAAACCAAAATGTGAAAAGCCTGTTGAATGAGGGCTGTTTTAATGAAAAGATGGGTCCCTGAGACTCTTGCCTTTCCTAGAGTGCAATTTCCATGCTTTAGTAAAACAACATTCTTCATATGGAATCTGTTCTCTATGCTTTTCATTATCTTCTTTCATTTAGTATAAAATTCAGTAGGTATCAGACTGTATCCACTCTCTCACGCACCATGCTACCCTGGTTGAGAATCACTGGTGTATATGTTCAAGGGGACAGAATTAAGGCTCCATGGACATTTGTAATTGTTGAGTGAATGACTTTGTATCCTTAATAATATTCCTTTAGAGTAGCTTCTCAAATGTAAACCTCTATTGTAACAGGTACCCTGGGAATGGCATTTACACCAAACATAACCTAGTTAATCACTGTTTGTGAGAAGCCTTAGCCTGTTTCAGGCAGGACAGGTGCACAGACAACACTGGTTTGAAGAAATCTTCTCCACTGCTCTGACACTTGATACAGTAATTGCTGCATCTCCCACAGGTATTGCAATCCAAGGAAGATTTCTCAACATATTTGAAGAAATGAATTATAAATGAATCTGATGGTGCAGGACAGTGTTCAATGTAGACATTGCATTCATCGAGGAAAAGAACTAAGTGAGGCAAGGCATATAATTAACAGCTATCCCCCATTCTGCCTATTGCAAATTTACTAGGGATTATGCAGTAGCCATGTTGAGAGCTGTGCTGTTACCTTCCCTGGAGCGTGAGGCCTGATAGCACTGACACCACAGATACACCTGGCAAGCCTTCCCTGAAACTGGCTTTAGAGGTTCACTGCCCAGCTTCTGGCTCAGATGAGCACAAGAGCTGTGATTGCATCCAGTCTATGTATGGATGGGAATAAAAGGGAAACGCCATATTCCCTGTCTGGTCCTTCACACATTCCCACATGAGTTTTTTAAGAATTAGACTTCTAGTATAAACCAGAAATAATTCTACCCCATACATTTTTCCATTAGTTTATCCCCTTTATCTTAATGGCATAGCAGTGATGCTTCCTTAAATTATCTCACCCCTTAATTATGGCACAAGGTTTTTGGTGCTAGGTGCTGTGTTGTTACCTGTCAATTTTGGAGTGTTGTGGAATATGCAGCATCTCCAGAAAATAACTGTAAAAGCAAATGGAACATGTCCTGTGAAATAATGGCTTAGTGATGTGATCAGTAAGAAGCTCTGGTGAGGTCAAAAGAGTGTTGGGCTGTGAAATTCAGATCCAAACTCACACTTTCAAACACCAGAGGTATTTAGGCCCAGCTTAAGATATCAGAGAGAAGAAACCATACAGTTATTTTACAGTGGAGAACTCAGTCCTGCTGGGAGAAGCAGGAAACCATACTGTTGATGGAGCCAATTGAAATCACAGCATTTTATTAACCGAGAGCTTATTGTTTGATTGCATTAAAACCTTTCCAGAGAGACAGGAGACACAATCAAGAGCTGATGCTTCAAAGCAGATTTGACAGGATGCATCATAAGGCTGAAATTTCACATTTATGACTGTGAAAATACAAAATAAAGAAATCTGCTGCCTTTTTAATGATTTTCAGGCAGTTTAATAAATTTTGGTTCACCGGAGCACATACTGTTTTCTCCAGTGTATCAAGATACATTAAACTGAGTTGTGCCTTTTGTCCTAAAGAGATTTTAACAAGTTTCTCTCTAACACAGTGGTCTCAACATGTAGCCTGAGTAGCCCGCTCTGAGCAGTGAACTTTGATTTTGGAGGATAAATCTTGTGAACTAGTATTTTTAATTATAGAAACATTCCAGCTCTCTCCAAAAATTAAATTATAATCTGCTCTTTGCATTTCCCCTTGTGTGCAATGTTAGGAAATAGCCCCCTTTCCTGGTGATACACGATAGACTATTTAGGGTCTGTTTCTCTGTTCTAGGTAGGATTTTCCAAAGCAATTCAGTGACTTAGACCCCCTGTACACACTACAGGTATTGCACAATAAATTGGTTAATCATACAGTTACCCTGAGACCACCTACACATGCAAAGTACTTATCATATGATAGAAAACTCCAACCAGCTATAAAATTAGGCTTTGAAAATGTGTACTAACTTTATAGCTGGTTTCTATCAAGCTTTAAGTTGCACGTGTAGCAGGGTCTACCCTGTGACTGTGGGCTCCCAGCCAGAAGGGTACACCTTGCCAGGGCTGTGAGTCCCACAACCATAGCTGTGGACATTGGGTCCCCACTAGGTCCCAACAGTTGCAGGGCACAGCTCTGATTTCTTAGTCCCGGGCATGTGTGAAACCCTGGGGCGGGGGGATTGTGGGAGAGGTGACCTCCCCACTGCAGGGGGTGTGTGGGGTTCCCCATGGCTGAGAGCCCCTAGCTGAGGGGGCTTCCAGCTGCAGGAGCTTCTTGCCAGTGCAGGGGGAGCCCAGTATCTGGCTCCCCTTGCTTTGAGATGCAACTCTGGGGTCATGCCTTAGATCTCATTGCGCCTTTACCTATATGTGTACAGGGAGCCAAAGGTGTAGAGAGCTCATTGAATAGGACTTGTGCTTCTAGTCATGCAAGCATCTTAAACAATTCTTGTTCTTTATTTGTAGATCAGTGAATTTTTTTTATTTTCTATTTACAGCTGAACTACAATCGGGGAAAGAATGAATTACTAAGGCCTCCATGGGCTTGCTGAAAGCAAGGTAACTTTGCTTTCCTCAGCAGTCATATATAACACGAACCATTGTGTTCTACCCCAATACAAATGTATCAGCAGCACGTTGCATTTATTAATATGAAAAATATTGCAATTTATGGCAATAAATCCTATCTTAAGATATGATGAACAGTTCCTTTTTTGTGTTTACCTTTGTTTCAATATGAATGCTGCTGCCTAGATGTTTCATTCATGGCTGTAGTTATCCTAGGGAGACTTCTTGGGTCACTCAGGAAGAAGGTGGTTGATCCAGGCACCTAAAAGGATGTATTTTTCAGACAGTGAGTTAAATTAAGGCTACAATGAGTAGGTAAAATCTTGTTGACATATAAAGAGCTGCTTATTGTGAGTCTGAATACATATAAACCAGATGTCTTTATTGTAGCAATTGTAAGAAAATCTAATTCACCTTAATTCTCAAATCTCATTATAAACTTTGCTCGAGAATGAGACTTTAAAATTGCTATAGTGCTGAGGTATTCCATGAAAGCTGGTAGTGAAACTACCACTTTGACCTTCATAATGGGCAAATGTGTTTTATGTTTATTTTTAATTTTCTGTTCTTCACAGCATCATGAACTTCCAACGAAATAGGGCCACCCAATCAAACTATTTCCATGAAACAGTTTTTCATGGTATAGCCTTTCAAAAAACTGTCTGCCATGCAACAATTCATTTCTCAGGCTAGGGGGGTGAGGGTACTGATTGTAGTGGGAAAGCATTATATTCCTCTAAGCATGATGGCAATAGTAATGACAAATGTTACTAACAGATCTTATTTGCATTCTCTGATCCTTCTTGCCCTTACAGTTCTGCGAAGCTTACATAAGGGTGGTAGTTATTAGGTCTGTGCAAAGTGGCTAGTATTTGCTTCGGTTTCGGATTCGGCTGATTTGGGGGACAGTGATTCAGTTTGATGATTCGAATCACTGTCCCAAATCGATTCAGCTGAATCTGATTCAGAGATTCAGCTGCTGCCAAATCTCTAAATTTCTGAATCAGCCAGGGCCATCCCCACCCAGCCTGGCAAGGCTGCCCCACCCACCCAAGCTCCCCGCTCTTTGGAAAAAAAGAAGCCCCAGCTCACCCAGTGCTGGTGGGGGGTGATCCGTACTGCCCCACACTGTGGGGAGGGGCTCTGTATGAGCCCCCCCAATCCTGCTTCACTCCCCCAGGCCCCCCATGGGTACCTTGCCTGGGCCAGCTCCAGCCCTTTAAGACCCCCCCCCCCCCGAAAAGCCCCGGGACTCGCAGCTCCTGCCTGTGGGGAGGGGGTGATCCCTGCTGGTCCCTGCCATGTGGGGGGCTCTTCCACAAGCCCTCTGAAGGGCTGAGGCTGCTGCAAGAGCAGTGAGTCCCGGGGCTTTTCTTGGTTGTTTGTTTGGTAAAAGGAGCTGGCTTGGGCGGGGCACCTGTGGGGGAGCTGGGGAACCAAGGGGGGTTGTTGGGGGCTCATGGAGGAGCCCCCCATGCAGTGAGGGGCAGCAGGGATGCCCCTCCCTGCCCAGCAGCACCTGGTGAGCAGCAGGGCTTTTGTTTAAACTGGGGACTGGG